TTTATTTCCTTTTTTCAACATTTTCTAAAAAAATATATTTAAAAAAGAAAAAATTTTAAATTTTTTTGTAATAATAATGTTTTTTCCATAATCAATATTTTTCTAAAAATAATAACATTTTTTTAGGAAATGATTCTTCAGAAATAGTTTTCTAAAAAACATTTTAAGAAAAAATAAATATTTTCCCAAATTTCAAAATATTTATAGGAAAAAATTTCTAAAAAATTAATTTTAAAAAATATTTTTATAAAATTATTTCAAATCATTAGTGAAGTTCTTATATTTTCAAAATGTTAAATAATAATTTTGAGGTTTTTATTATTTTTATTAATTTGAGTTAGTTACAACAAAGTTGTAATTACATCTTATGCTCAAAATGGCGTAAGTCAAAGACTGCAACTGGAGGGCAATTTACAACTGTAGTTGTAGTGAAACAAACACTTGGAGTTGGACAAAAATGATCAAGTCGCATGTGTTTTCGTGGAAAGCTGCATTCATCATTGATTTCATTAAACTTTAGTCGTTACAAGTGAATTCAAATAACGAAAATAAAAGATTACAACTTTCTTGAAAATAAACACAAGATCCGTTTATCGGTTCTTGCTTGCGTGGGTTCTTTGCCGGTGCCGGGGTTAATCCGTGGACGACCGCGAATCAGATCCGGTTGTAGGAAAATTCGGCAGAGCTTCGCCTTCGCCGAGGAAGTTTTCTGGTTTGAAGCGCTGAGATCGACAAAGCGAAATCAGGGCTCTTCTCGATATTAAGACCAAGTCTAATCTCAAGGAACGGACGTACGGGCTTCGGATCCTTCGAACGGCTTCTCCTTTGCGCCGAAGTTCACCAGGATCTCGTTGACCTTCGCTGAAATTTCGTGCTCCTTCACTCTTCAATCCAGCAGCACCTCGTCCTCTTGATAAAATTCCAGATCTCGAAAATGGAGGCATTTGGCTCGTATTTATAGGCCCCGGATGCGGTTATTTGGATGAGAACAAGTGATTTGGCTCTATCTTCAGTTAACAACAGCCTAACCACGTTTGGGGATGATATCAAGTCAGTTAGGAACCCCTGGAACAGATAAATCCTGTGAAAACAGCTTCAAAACCGTCAAAACACGTTTCGGGATCAGGACTGCGCGGCGCGGGTCAGACCGCGGGTCGGATGCAATCCGACCCGCACTTGCGCGGGTCGGATGCATCCGACCCGCACATGTGCGGGTCGATTGCATTCGGCCCGCGCTTGCGCGGGTCAGTTTGTTCCGTCCTGCGCTCACGTAGGTTTCCGACTTTTTTCTTTTCCTGTTCTCTTTCTTCCGAGACTTGTTCTCTTCGCGTATTTGGTTTGCTTTGTTGACTTGTATGCTTCGCCGCAAGACCGACCGTCGAACGCGCGTTGGTTAATATACGCGTGTTTGATCGATGCGCGCGGACTGATTGGCGTGCGCGCGTTGACCGACGCGCACGAGCTGGTTGACGTGCACACGAGTGGTTTGACGTGCACGCATTTGACCGACGTGCACGAGTTGGTTTGACGTGCACGCATTTGACCGACGTGTACGGGTCGAATGGCGTGTGTGCGCTGAGCGACGCGCGCGAGCTGATTAGGCGAATCTTCTTGACTCGTCAATTCATTGCTTCGAGTTTCGTACGTGCTCTCATAGACAATTTTAGACACCTACAGCATGCAACTACAGTTATGACCCCTTCAATTGCAACTTCCAATCACACCTTTATAGAAAGACTGTATTTAAAGTTTTTTTTCCATATTGTAACTCTAATTGAAGTCACAGTTTTTTCGTGGGTCAGGAAGTGTATACATATATTAGTGACAATAAATAATAAATTTGATTATTAAATTAAAATATATTTGGTTACGTAGAGTTACAGTAACTTGAAAGAATGTTCATAACGGATAGAAGACTCCTTATTACTTATTCAATTTTTAATTTTTTTTATCTTCATGAAAATGAGTGAACATTCAATTTGAAAATTTAATAGCTATTAGTGTTCCCTTGTGAAACATACAAATGAGAATACTTGCGTAGTATTTCGTCACAAGCAACTTAAAACAAACTAGAATTAAGTTCATGCGTTCTTAGGGTATTATTTACCGATGTATATCTATCACCAAATTGATAATATGATTTTATATATAACTATTTATAAAAACTCCGGTGATAACTCTTTTACTATTATATAGAGAGTGAATTTTTAAAATAGTTAACATGGTGATATTTGTGTGGTGTTTTCAAAGCACGATGGTGTTTTCCTCCAAAAGTATTTTCAAAACATCATAGTAAGTGTTTTTGTCAAAAATAGGTTGACCTTTTATAACATGAATATTAAACATACTATTCATATATTAAATATTAATTATAATATAATCTATTTTAATAAATATATTATAATGTTATATATATAATTACGTATTATAATATTATATATAAATAATAGATTATAATGTTATATATGGTACATATTTGTAATATATATTATATTACAATAAATATTATTTTCAAATATTGATGTATTTAATTATTTTTTATATAAATATATTAATATATTAACATTTATTAATAATAATGTATTAACATTTTCTTTTTATAATATAAACTAATATTATTATACTATGAGAATGTTGTTATTATTATTATATAATATTTGTTATAGTAATGTAATTTGTCATTAATAAGTTATTTACTTTATAATATATAATAATTATTATTTTATAATATAGTATATTATTATTTATTATATGATATATAGTTTTTGTTATATAATTCAATATTATATCATTATTATAGGATTATTTATTAATAATAAATTGTTATATATTGTTTTATTGAAATATGTTATTTTTATTTACTAATATTTTAATATATAATTATTTAAGCTATAATTATTATTTTTTATTAATTATATGTATTATTAACTAATGGTATTGAGCATATTGTTGGTATATTAAGAAACTAGTATAGTAATGTAATATATAGTAATATATTTATTTAATAATATCATATTATGTTATGTAACAAATGTAACATATTTCTATGTTATTATGATATTTTCATTAATATATTTAATTTATTATTATTTACTATTAATATAATATTTATAATAGTATTTAAAATGTAAAATATTAGATTATATTAACTATAATATTATGATAATTATTAATAAATAGTATTAGACATAGTATTGATGTATTTGGAAAATAATGTTATAGTGTAATATATTAAATTATAAAAGTTAATATTATATTATATTATGTAATTAACATATTATATTAAATATATTATTTATACACTATATTAGACATTATATTAATACCCTTAAAACTCAAAACCCAAAGTACAAACTTAAAAGCACTTTTTGGTGTTTTAAAATAAATATTGTGTTTTTAGCAAAAACACCATGAAAACACTAAAAACACAATGTATCCAAAAGCTATCTATAATAGAGCCAGAAAATATTTAATTTATGAAATTTCGGGGAGTTAGGTTCATCATTTGCAAGAAAAAAAAATGAACCCTATTTTCAAGGTTAAAAAATATTGCTTCAGTTTGAATAGTGGATAAACGGGAAAAATTACTGTAGCATATAAAGCATGTTTAAGATTCAAAAATTGCGCTATACATAAATAGTATTTATGGGGAAAAAATCATTACAACGCTAACAATATGGATGAGGCTAAAATTTTTACATGAATTACATGTGTAACTACGTTTGGTTTAATTATTACCTTTTACGTTTGTCATTCTTAAAAAAAAAAGAACTTTTCGATGTTATATGATATTCTAATGCAAGCTAATACCTACTAATAATTCTCAATCCCTACTTATAAGGGCCTGTTCGTTTGCCTTAAAAAATGGGAAATCAAAGAAATAGAAAACTATTTCTAAGAAAAATGGGTTTTTGAATTGTTTGGTTGGCTAAAAAAAGGAAATCAAAGAAATGGAGATGAGATGAGATGAGTTGTCACATTATTATTGGATGATGTGAGTGATTTTTTAAGAAAAATAGTTTTGTTGTTGTTCGGTTGGCGAAAAAAAATAAGGAAATGAATTATAAGAAACCTATTTCCTGTAGTTTTGTTGTTTTCTTTTGTTTGGTTCATTCTTAAAAATAAGAAATGAAATGAGATGAGATGAGTTGTCATTGTATTATTGGGTGATGTGAAGAAAGATTAAGAAAAGTATTTTCACAACTTTTTAGGATGAAAACTAATAAATGAAATGTTAATAAGATGAGGTGAATTGTTATAATATTTTATTCGATGATATGAGTGATTTGAAATGATGAAAAGAGATGAGTGATGATATGAGTGATTTGAAATGATGAAAAGAGATGAGTTGAGTGATGTTTGGATGAAAATAATATTTTATTAGATGTGATGGATGAGTTGTTAGATGAAAATAATATTTTATTAGATGTGGTGGATGAGTGGTTAGATGAAAATAATATTTTATTATATGATATGGATGAGTTGTTGGATGAAAATAATTTTTTATTGGATGTTGTGGGTGAGTTTTAGAGATGGAAATGGAAGAAATGAGTTATTTTGAGATTTTCACCTTTTCCATTTCCATTTCTTGTTTTTTAGGAAATAAACGAACAGGCCCTAAACTGAAAAGTTTGAAAACAACATTTTCTTTAGGGGCCTGTTTGGTTATTTCCCAAAAAATCGAAAAATGGAAATGAAAACTAAGAAATCTCAAAAAGTACAATTTCACACATTTCCATCCCTAAAACTCACCCACAACATCTAATAAAATATTATTTTTATCCAACAACTCATCCACCACATCTAATAAAATATTATTTTCATCCAACAACTCATCCATCACATCCACCACATCTAATAATATATTATTTTCATCAACAACATCACTCAACTCATCTCATCTCATATTTAAAAATCACTCACATCATACAATTATAAGATTGTGACAACTCATCTCATCTCATTAACATTTTATTTCTTTGTTTTCATCCCAAAAAGTTGTGAAAACACATTTCTTAATCTTGGATCACATCACCCAATAATACAATGACAACTCATCTCATCTCATTTCATTTCTTATTTTTAAGAATGAACCAAACAAATTTTTTTAAGAAATTGGTTTCTTATAATTCATTTCCTTATTTTTTTCGCCAACCAAACAACATCAAAACAAGTTTTCTTAAAAAATCACTCACATCATCCTATAATAAGGTGACAACTCATCTCTATTTCTTTGATTTCTTCTTTTTTTTAGCAAATCAAACACTCCCAAAACAATTCTTTGATTTAATAGTTTTCCATTTCTTTGATTTCCCTTTTTTTTGAGTTTTAGAGAGCAAGAAGAAGTGAAGAGCAATGGCGAGCGAGGAGGAGAGCGCAGTGAAAGAGCCCCTCGATCTCATCAGGCTCAGCCTCGACGAGCGCATCTACGTGAAGCTCCGGTCCGACCGAGAGCTTCGTGGAAAACTCCATGTAATTCCTCTTTCCTCTCTCTTTCTCTCTCTCTCTCTATCCTATTTAGGGTTTTGAACTTTGATTCGAGAGGGAGGGAAAAATTGAATTTTTAGGGTCTTCTGACTCATCATGGTCGGAATTGGTTGAGCATTAAGATAAGTGTTCAGATTTGACGTTTACAATTCAAAATTTTTAGGTTAAAATCATGTAAAGTTGATGATTTGAGAAGTTTCGTTCGTCGAGAATTATGTTTGAAGCACGATAAGGCATGGGAATGTAAACGCACTTTTGTTTAGCATTGTTGCTGGAAGTTAAGAGTAAATTAAGGGCTGAGGAGCACCAGAATTGTTATTTACTTGGTTTTTTTTCAAGGAGAAATTAGTCAGCTTTCCTTTTTCCATATATAAGGCTGTTAATGGAGAGGATACAAGTAGATCTATTGTCATGTTGACAATGTGGAGGTGAATTGCGTAAGGGTAGAAAGGCATGATATTGTTAGGATTGACGTCGATATCCTAGTTAATATGTGGCAAAAGAAATTGAATTCAAATCCTCAATATTGATTAGTACTTATACATATAAAACCAGTTAAATAATTCACATCTGTAAAGGTTAAAGTATACTGACATTCTAGTTAATATGCGCTAGTATATGTTTGGTCATCTCGATATTCCGTGCAATTAAGCAAATATATATTTTCTTATCCTTATTTTAAAAGGTCAGTTGTTTGATAGCCATTTTTTTTCAAAGACAAGGATACAAAATTCAATGGGATCGAATTATCTGTTTTCGTTGTCATCTACTTGTATTAGTTGGTGTTTCCATGTATTGATGGATCAGTGTATTTTGGACATGTCAAAGTAATATCATTTTGACGTGGCTCACTTAGGCTGTGTTTGGTTTGAGGTAAAGTGAAAGAAAAGAAAATGAAATGGAAAAGAAAAATAAAGGAAAATAAAAATAAAAAGAAATAATATTTTTTTAATGTTTGGTTAGGAAGAAACTTGTAGAAAGAAATTTGAAGGAAACTAAATAAAAATAAGATAAAAAACCATTTACTTACCCTTATACATAAAAATTATACTAGACCCCCATGAACTTTCAGCCTTCTGCAATAAACCCCTATGACCTTTCAAAATCACACCAAACTCCCATGAAAATTTTGAAATCACAGAAAACTCCTAAAACTTTTTGAGTTTTGTAGATAACCCCCATAAATTAGAACCAAAAAACAACATAAAGAGGTGTTTTGAACGTCATGGGGGGTTTCTGCAAAAGATATTGGGCATTTAGTGTGATTATGAAAATTCATGGGGGTTTACTATAAAGCACTGAAAGTTTATGGGTGTTCAGTGTAATTTACCATAATATATCCTATAAGGCTATAAAGAGAGTTATGTACATGATTTTTTTTGCACATGTGTATAGTGTACTTAAACCTACATAAATGCTCTAGTTGGGCCCATGAAGGTGAATATAATGGCTTTAGCCCTTATGGGGCCCACACTCAATCAATGGAGGATGTTTGTTCTCGACGCAGTGGATAGCGGCATTGAGATAAAATGAGATCGCAGGAGTTGTGGTCGGCCGGCCCCAACAAGATTTTCCTCAACTTTCACTAGCTTCAGAGGAAGAAACTGAGAACAAAAATTCAGAGCCTTATTTTCTTCTTTGATTCTTATTTTCATTTTCTTTTTATCTTTCCATCAAACCAAACGATGCAAATCTATTTTCTTTTCTTTTCCATCATTTTCAGTCAAACCAAACAGGGCCTTAAGAAATGCTTTATTGCATTTGTTCCAATTTGTCTATCACAGATTCATAATTCATTGGACTAACTGTATGTAGTCAGTTGACCAATACGAGATAGTTATAGTTATTTGCAATCTAAAGCAGCAAGCTACCAATAAATTGGTCAGAGAGTTGATATTTACATTGCCTAGATGGTCTGTCGGTGGCTATTACAACCTGATTCATTGTTCACGTTCTTTTGCTAATTCAATCAAGTATAGTTCCTCAAAAATTACTTCAAACTAGGAAAAATGTTTTCCTAAAGAAGAAATATGGCAATATTTATCGTGAGGAACCACATTCATCTATGAGGCACTAATAGTCCAACATACCAATTGAGATTATGTTCCCCAGCTTATTTCATTGACGATATCTATATATTTCATGTCAAAGCTATTGAGATACAGTTAGATAACATTTTCTCACAAGAAGAGTTCATTTATGCGTGTAGCCTCTTCCTGTATTATATAATCTATTTTCATTAGACATTGATACCCACTTCTCTTTTTCCAGTCTCTTAAGATAAGCGTTTTAGAGGGATCTTTTTTCTTTTTCTTTTCTTTTGTGTGTGTGTGTGTAAAGTCAGTATCATTTTGGTTTGTTCGTTGGATGTAGGCTGCAATAGTCCCTGCAAATACCCGTCACATTGTTACTTGCTTTATTTATGTTTTGGGTATGAATAATTTGTAAACGAGCCATTGGCATGTTGTTCACTCTTCAGTTTGTACTTGTATGTATTGATTTTGCCCCTTCTGCTTTCAGGCTTACGATCAGCATTTAAATATGATACTTGGAGATGTAGAAGAAATTATAACAACGGTAGAGATTGATGATGAAACATATGAAGAAATAGTTCGGGTAAACAAGCTTTACTTTCAGTACCTTATTTTTACATAAGTTTGGATGAAGTTTGTGAAGCTTCAATGATTATTTCGTAGTGTTATGCCTCGCTTCTTTTCCTTTATGAACAAGATTCTGCAAATTTTATCTCTTTATCTGGTATGGCTACTATTAATGATGCTTATCATTGCTTTTGTCTCTATATCAATGACTGGAAGAAAAGATTCAGCTGTTACATATTATCATTTTAATAGACAGATCTTAAGCCATTGGAACAAAAAATAATATTAATATGCGACAGTATGTAAGTCTTTTCCTGCAAATTATCCTTCAATGAAGCCAATTTAATTTTATGTATCGAATATAGGTTAAAATACATATGATTCCTTGATCTTTAATGTTTGGTTCTAATTCTCTACTAAATAAGCTCATTAAGGTATCCTGTTTAAGACTAACATCTCATATGAGCGCAAGTTGCATAATCTAGAAGGTCTTTTAGTTTTGACAGAATACATTACATTTTATAAAGACCTTTTGACTAAAGGTTTAAGCTAGCATAAGGATGTTTTGACAAATCTTTCAATGTGGATTTACAAGTTTATAAATATCGTTAAGGTTTGATGAATAAACCTGTAGCTTCTCAGTACCAGTTAGGAAACTTCCATTCTCTAGAGCCATCTTATTGTAGTTTCAGAAGTGGATTAGCAGGATTAGCAACATGTATTATTTTCTAAGGGAAAATAATCAGCGTGCATACTAATGGTTTGTTGAATTGCAGCGATCCATGTTCCTTTTGGTTCTTTTGATTGAATCAAGAAATTGAGTTATGGAAAGCTCTTTTGACGTTGGTTTTTGTATGTTGTCTAGATTGGTGACAATGTATTGCAGCATTTCCTATACTTAATTTTTTGATTTAGACTCCTTACTGGCATGTGCCTTCGTATTTATTACGTTTGAATGCTCAATTGGTGTTTGATCCTTATCGGCATGCATTGTGCATGACCTTAAAGGACGACCTTATCAAGTCCTTTGAATTAACTTGAGCATCTCTCACATTTCCTTCGTGCTTGTGATGGGACTGCCATGAGAAACACTCTAGAGCTATCATTTCGTTACTAGAAGTTTATTAGCTATCGATTGTTATCAACTTAATAAATGACATCTGACTATTGTTTCTTTCTTTCTTTCCTTTTTCAGACCACTAGGCGAACCGTCCCATTTCTTTTTGTCAGAGGAGACGGTGTGATCCTGGTTTCACCGCCTCTGAGGACAGCCTGAGAGCTTGTTGTGGCACTAGCTAGTGGTCAGCTGACAAGGGTTTAGATATAATCTTGTACCGTGTTAATGTATTGTCTCTTCTTTTACAGACACATTTGCGAATGAGTTTCTTTAGCCTCTTTAAGGAATTAATATCGTTCTTTCGCCCTAATTTTTGAAGGGATTACTGCTGCTTCATAATCGTTGTAATGGATATGGTAATATGAGACTAGCTCAATTTGATTTTGTTAGTTCGTTTAAAATGTTGGTTGTTACGGGTCCGGTAGAATTCTTGCCCCGTTATGCTCTTCAGTATTCTAGGCAGTGTAAGGTCTGCAGCCTAGCTCTCTTTGAGCTGCTCTCCCTTTAGTATGGATGCAGTGTGCTGTTTTGAAAATTTTGAGAGCAAAACGATGGTGCTGCGTAGCTGAGTTCTTTCGTGTATTTTGTCTCACAGAAGAACTCGATAGATAATATTGGATATCGTCGGTGACAAGACGATCAGTCTCCTTGCAGGCCACTTGTTTCCTCACAAGAATGAACACATTTTGACAGGTGTAAAAGGACTTGGTATTTACTACAAAGCTCTGTGGAATACAATTGCTCTTGTAAATTGCAGCTGTAATAATGATTTTTTCCCCAAAAATCATTACTTGCAAATCAAACAGGCTCTCTGCAATGTATACTGCCTGTGTCTACATTGATGAGAAGCAAATTAAAAACACAACATCATAGATATTAGCATCTTAGAGTATGACAAGAGAAAGATTAGAACTCAAGAATGCGCTACTGATAAGCTCAAGCCAGCAAGCGATTTTTGCAGAGAAACAACATCCATCTGATTAATGCGCCTCATCTACTAATATACATAAATCACCTACATAAACTTTTTTTTTTCCTGGTTTTTCGCTGAGTCTGTATATAATTTTTGGTCACTGTAACACAAGCAGCATAGAGATCATTCAAGGGGCTTGATTGGAGCCTGAAGCGAGGTGTAGCTCAGTGTACACATCCCAACACCAGAACTGGACATACAATAATGAACTGCAGAAACGCCTCAGAAAATTACGGAATCAAGATCTTCTTTCTGCAGCAACTTGTTAATTCAGCATTTAGAGGATCACTTTGACATCTACAAGTTATTTAATTGGGAACGCGGGAACCGTCAATAAGAGATTTCAATAGGAGGAGCAATCAAAATCACCTGAAACAATGTCAATGTGTAAAACATCAGCATAAAACATTTATTCACATGTCAATGTGTAAAATATCAGCAGAAACTATGTTCTAGTCCTTCCACTCTTATTTCTCCATGACAATCCATCTAAAACCTAAACAATTGTATATTACTCATCATTGTTAGTGTAAGTAAATTCGTAAAAAATTCAGGCATAAAAATAAACTACTGACAATAAAAGAAATAATAACCATAATAATGAGTTGAAGAAAATCATCATCATCACAAGACGTTTATTCACATGTCAACATGTAAAATATCAGCAAAAACTATGTTCTAGTCCACCCTTAGTTCTCCATCACAATCCATCTAAACTTAAAACAATTGTATATAACTCTTCATGGTTAGTATTAGTATATTCGTAAAAAAATTCTAAGCAAGTCATTTTTCATGTCATTAGGAGACAAACACCAAGACAGACTAAACAACAACAAAGAAGTATCTACTAAAGCAGAAAGACATTGCATGGTGGCCTAATGCATTACCAGGGAAAATCTCCAAAGTAATTCCAATATTATCAACATGTTCTACATAAGTGCTAAAAGAACTTATCAAACCATGAATAGTGCAGAGCATCTGATAATATTTAGTTTCCACCAAATGCAAAATGATTACTGACATTAAAACCCCCAATGCTGAAACGACAACAACAGCAACAGCAACAATTACTACATAACAATATGTAAACTATAAGCAACAAATTATGCTCCCTCCCTTTAACCTGTCTCTCTTCTATGGTTAACTTATCTTAATAAACTTCAACAATTGCATAAAAGCCTTTATAGTTGAGCATGTTTGTGAAATTAAACAAAATTCAGACTGAACATTTTTCTTGTCATTAGGGGTCAACCAAGACAAGAGACTGAACTGGAAAGTTTTACAAAATGGTTATCAAAGCAGTATGACATTCAGTTGGTCACCTATAACATTATCAGAAGGAAGAAGGGCAATTCCAATTTTATCGTATAGATCTTACACATCTGCTAACTAGGTTTTTGTGAAAGCATGGATGTCAGGTTCTACAGATAGCGTACTAAACTAAAGAAAATGTAATCTCATTTAAGATATAAATGACAATTACCTCTTGATGTTAAGCATGTCCTTAGCCTCACTCTGTTCCTCTATCAACATATCACTTGTATACTTGTTCAACAACTCCATCTTCTTCTTCTCTAACACCATCCTCTCAATCTCCTTGTCATCTGGCAGAGGAACATGAACCACAAACTCTTCTTTCCTCTCCTTCTCCTCCCTCTCCCTCTCCAGAGCTCTCTCCTCCTCAACCACATCCTCAACACCCTCAAACAAAATCTCCTTAATCGCGGGCCCCACACTCACGACTTCCCCACTCTTAACTGCCTTTCTAGCTTCTTTCCTAATCTCTTCCATCTTTTTCCATTCTTCAACCGCTCTCTTCCTCATCTCTGCCTCTGCTGGCCCCTCCAACTTCTCCAAGATACCATCCTCATCATCCCTATACCCATAATAACTTGCATTGATTCTCTTGTAGATATCGTATCTTGATCTTCTTTTCTTGATCTCAGGTGGTTTCTCGAAGAGCTCTTTAACACCGGGTAATTTCTTTGCGGCTCCAAAGTACCGGTAACCTGCATTTCACAATAATTTCCGATTACCCAAAAATATTCACTCCAATAACATCTTATAAGTTGAACAGCTGCAAATAATTCTTCCTTGATCGAATTTATGAACAAGTAGAAAAAGTTTACAGACATCAATAAATTTTCATGAATTGATCCTGAAAACACATAAACTATCATTTAGTGATCACTTCTTATCTCTAGTTGCAATTAGCTATTACCATATTTCACGTGCTTGTTTCTACCAAGCATTGGTGGATCTAGAAAAATTTTCTTGGAGGAGCGGACGACAAGTATCTATTTATCTAGAAATAAAAATATAATATATAAAACCATAACACCTAATGGGAATGCAAGTCAGTACACTTTGTTAGCTTCATGTATAATATGTAATGTGATAGATAAACATAAGTGAGTAATTTCGCTAATAATTTACTTAAATATGCTAAATTCAATTGGGTTGCTAATTATTTAGTGACTATACAAATAAGGACCAGGGTGCAAATATTCAAAAGTTTTTTTTTTGTTGCATTTTTTAAAAGAGGGATCACAAATTGAAGAATGAAAGCTAAAAATTCAAATTGTTAGGGGTGCAACTGCACCCCTAACCTACAACAAAGGTACGCCTCTGCTACCAAGCAACTACAGCTCCCATAACAATTCCAATTTCTATCAATTTGTTTAGTCATTAAGTACTTAAGATTTGCCAGTTCTTCGGTAAGAAAACTCTTGCACTATTCAAGCTATCACTCAAAAGTGGTGTTTCATCTGAAACCTCACTTTCTTTTTTCGTTAACATGGATTTGTCTCAAAACAGATAACCAGCAGAAATCTACCTATTTCAAATCTAGCTATTTCAAGTATTATAATCAAAACCATACAAATATGAACACGGATCAGTTTCGCAATGCTTCACATTGTTGCCACAACTACTGTATTACAAATATTGAACGATAGTTTAGGAACAGATAGTGCGCCAGATGTAACCAAAACACATAAATATTATATAATTGCCATGTCTTTCTTCGAGTTGCAAGTAGTAATCAATTTGTTTCTATCAAGCAACTTCAATAACCATAAAAGTTCCACCAACTTCAAGCTAATTTGTTTTGTCAAGCATCTATGATTTGCTACTTCATCTTCTGTAAGTTGTTTTTATGTGATATTCAGCTATCATTCAAGGCAACAACCAACAATAATCCAGACTAAACCATTTCAAGTAAAGAAACTAAGAGCAAATCAATCAAAATCAATAAATATAATAACCTGGACCCCGTCCGCTAGGGTTTGGGACATCAATAATATTCCCCTCGAGATCCGTCATCTTCGCCGAGTGCCTCATGTAATTGTGACCCCCAAGCTCAACGATCCTCCTCTCCCAGTGAACTCTTTCTCTCAGCAGCTTGTTAATCTCATCGTTGAGATCTCGGAGCCGGTGCTCTCCCAGCCCCTCGTTCTGGATCTCGGCGACCTTGACCCCGATCTCGCGTAGAATCTCGCTCCGCCATTTGTCGGCGTCGGCGAGGTCTCGGCACTCGGAGGCGAGGTAAGGGCGTCGCTCTTTCGGTTTCTTCTTCTCCTCGCTCTTCATCGTTATGAAGCGATTGAGCATCGACTGCGCCTTCTCCTCGTTTCGCGCCATCTCGAATCGCTGGTGTGA